TAAAACCCAGAAAAAAAAAAAAAAGAAAAAAAAAAAAGATCCCTGTGGTATGTAACTCCTACCGCCATGGGCCAAACTGTGCTGTCTTTACGCAATCACCCCATCCCAAGAGACGGGGCAGCTTTCAGAAAGACCCGAGACACTGTGGGCTTCGTCCCTGGCCCCGCAGCAGCCGGGGAAGGCACAGACTCGGAAGCACTGACTTCACTACCCCCTCCAGGTCCCGGACATGGCGGCGGCCTGGCTGCCACTGATGAAGTAGGTTATTTGTTAGCTATGTAGCTTTGAGGTCACATAGTATTTTGCTGATGGGGGCCCATAGGAGAGAGGAGAGGCAAGCCAGAGGCGTGAGCAAGCAGCGCGGGGTGGCTAACCCTGGCCGAGCTCTGGCTACCGCCCCCGCCCTTGGAGCCATGTGTCCATCCCAGTGGGGAATTTTACTCCTGTAGCCAGCAAGTCCTCGGGCCGGGAAAGCAAGAGCACGCGGTGGGATCCCGGCCAGCGTGGGGGCAGGCAGGAGCGGGGGCTGCGTGTCCTCCGCGGTGTCAGCAGTGACGCACACACACACCGGCCCTGACGCACCCGGCGTGTCCCCAGGGCTCTGCCTGGGGCAGCCCAGCACCAGCTCCCACCATAGGCAGACACCCGGCTCTCCCCAGCAGCTGGGACAGCTCTTCTCTGGTGCCGAGCGGAGGAGAAGCTGCAGCGGCTGCTTTCGGGTGCTGCTGCCGGCGCCAGCCGGGTCGCTGCAGTTCAAGCTTCCCGGCAGCGCTGGCTGCTCGCAGAGCTCGGCAGCCCCGGCACGGTCATCCGGTGGTGACGGCTGCCACGGACAGCTGCGTATGGCACAGCCCCTTCGCACCGGGCAGGCGGCCGGAGACCTTGCTGCAGGGGTGCCGGCATGAGGTGAGTGGGGCCATCAGCATGCTCTGTCCCCAGATGTGCAGAACCAGGAGCCGCAGGCAGCTGCAGAACACAGTAACCTCATGGTATAGCCTCGTGGGCACCTCTGATGGGCTCCTCAGCCTTTAACAGCAACGTCTCCCCAACTTCTTCCCTTGTGGTACGTGAGGTACTGAAAACAGCATCCACGGATGCAGCCACGACAATCCTCCATCAATGCAACCCTCAGCCTGCCCTGCGGACACCCGTGGTGCCTCTGCTTTACCCACTTTTCAGCGATGCTGTAGCTCCTCCACCAGCCATGCTTCTCCACCCAGCAGTGTCTTCCCGGGCAGCTCCACACCAAAGACTTCAGGATGCTCTGCAGCAGCGAGCGTCCCAGTGCCAGACCCTGGTGGGATGCAGCACCCAGGACCTTCTGCGTGGAAGCAGGGTGCCCGGTGGATGCACACCCAGAGCTTTCCTGGCAGGCTGATGTCGGACACTACCAGGAGAAGGGAGATGGGGCGCTTTGATCATGCACCCTGCATGTGCAGACCTCCCTGGCTTTGAAATCCAAGGAGATACCGTCTGATGAGCCATGAGCTCCTGCAGGAGCTGCTCCACTCGCAGGAAGGGCTGGTGCTGGCACTGCTGCTGCCTGCCTGCTGCCCCAGCGATGCCCCGGGCGAGCAGCCCGCGAGCAATGCGCGGGTGCAAGAAGAACCCCTCTCTTCATCCCAAATCAGCTCTAAAGCCCCAGCTTGAAAGTTGTAGCAGCTCCTCAGGGATGAGGGCGAGCGGGGATCCCTCCCGCCAGCTAAAGGATGGCTACATCTCAGTTGCGACGGTGCCTCAGGGCTCCCTCCCCATGGCCATGTCCACGGGAGGAGTGGTACAGTTCCTGTATCCCGCTGCAGGGACTCTTCCTGCAGGGAAGCATGTAGCCGTGCCATCGTATCGGTTGCAAGGAACAGCACAGCTGAGCCAGTGCAGGGAGCCCAGGCAGCGTCGGCCGGCTCCCCCTGCCCTTCCAGCCACTCCTCTCCCCCCACCCCGGTGCCGGCCAGGAGGGAAATGTCCCCCGAGGCAGCCCCTTGGTATGAAGCCCTGTGAGGATGCAACGAACCACTTGAGCAATCCCCGACTGCAACACAGAGAGGAGGATGGAGAGCTGGCGTGTGCCACGCGGTGCGCCGGACAAGGGCAGTGACACGCTGAGGGTGACCTCGTCTGTCAGAAACGCCGGGCTGGCCTTGTGGGGATGCAGATGCAGCACAGAGACCCCCAGAGCTGGTGGGAAATGGCCCCCAGCTGGGCTGTCAGGGACATGGGGCCAATCCTGCTGCCGGTTCTTTGTGGCACAGCCGGGCTGGGGTGCAATCCCTGGGTCCAGGTGGCCATGGCACTTCAGGTCTTCTTCCTCTCCGCAGCAGGGACAACATCCGTCTGTCTGTCCATCTGTGGTTTCAGCCTTGAGCAGGACTAAAGACAGCACTTCGCGGGGAACAAAGCCAGTGGGCACAGCCCCGGGTGGCCACAGGAGGCCAGGATTTAGGTGGCCCGGCCGGGCGGCAGGCGTTTGCTGTCCAGAATGGCCTTCCAGTCATCGGTCCAGGACTGCAGCCTGCGACTGGGGGGCTTCAGCTGCAGGTGCTTGTTGTGGCAGGCCGTGAAGAGCACGTGCTCCCAGCTGGGGTTCAGCTCAGCCCCTGCGAAGCAAGGAGAGAGGTCAGGTCTCTGGACAACTCCTCCACAAGATGCAGAGTTTGACCTTACTCCAACACGAGGAGACTGTGGACACAACCCCCTAACGAGAGCCTCATCAGCTGGGCAGGGAGCAGCACCCATCACCCCCCGATGCCATCTGCCCCTTGGGGCTGCCTCTGGTCACTCCCACCACCCTGCACCTCCCTTACCTGTTATATCAGGTCTGTCGTCTATAAGCAGGTCAGCAGAAACCACCGTCTTATCTCGCGTCAAAACGATCTGCTCGAGGAACTCGGGGCCGAAGTGCTTCTCCACCCAGGCGTACTGGAAGGCGAGGGGTGAGCGGTGAGCGCGGGCATGGGAAATCTGACGGACAGGGCAGGGGCTGCTCGGCAGAGCGGCAACAGAGCCCAGCACGAGCCCTGGCCTCCACGCAGGGAGGACATCTCGCTTAATAAGTTCATCAGTGGGAAGGATTCAGATGCTGCTGGAGTACAAGCTCTTTTAAAGACAAGCAGCTTTTGACATCACGATGAAATATTAAGACCAAGCGCCTCAGTGCATGCAAATGGCAGAGCTCGGCTGACAGCGGAGCTGCCGCTCTGAGAAGACGCTTAGGAAGAAAACTGGTGGAGCAGGGAAATATCACTGCTGGTTTACATGCGGACAGCCGGAGGCACGGGGGGTCAGCAGGCTCTTGCCAGGCAGTGCGGTCCTGGGGGGGGAGCTGGGATTCGGACCTGCTCACCTTCTCGTAAGGGCAGTAGCGGTACTTCTTGATTGGGCTTGTGCAGATGAACACGTCGGTGCTGCCAGGAGGACAGAAATGGGGACAGAATGTCAATCCATGGCCAAACACGCTGATCAGACCCTGCTCCCCCTCGAGATGTACCTGGCTGCCTCTGTGAGACCCTGCTCGGTTCCTGAGCAGGCCGGTGCCCAAAGCAGATCCCCCACCACACACAGGTCAAACCGGGGTGATATAAGACATTAATCACCCAACTCACAGGATCCCATACCTGCAGCATAAGCATGTTCCCCTTTTTGCGCCCTTGCTGGGAGCAGAGAGCTGAAGGGCAAGGGCTGCACACGGCTGATTTTCTTGTGCCCTCTCTTTCCTCCCATGCCTGGTGGGCTGGAAGTCATTTTTAACAGCGATGTATTCAGCGCTTCTGCGGAGAGGATGAGTCTGCAAAGCCACTGCTGCTCCCCCGTCCATTCCCCAATACCACGGGCAGGTTCCTACTCACTCTGCCAAATTTGCCATTTGCTTCACAGCTTCCACAGCCCCGGGGAGCGGGTCCAGCTCGATGAAGAAGTTCTTCGATTCCCAGATGCTAATGGCCTTCTCCTGTGAAGGGAAGGAGAGCAGTTCCTGCATAAGGCTTCTTGCTACTCTTATCTTTGCATATGCATCTTCCCAACCCTTTGTTGGGACAGAGGATGGTGACAGTAAGAAAGGTGGGAGCCCCGGCTCCTGTCCCCGTCTGCTAACCTGCCTTCCTTCTGTGGGTGCCTCTGTTCCCCACCTGCCAACCTGCACCCGTCCCATACAGTTTAGATTGGAGACGCTTTGGACCAAGCTTGGTTTTGCCCGTGCAGCCCCACACACAGAGGGAGCAGCACGTTCCTTCAAGGCAAAACGCAAGAGATTATCCAGAACCAAACCAAGCTGGCTGTGTCCAGAGGTGCACTTCCATGTGGATCTGGCCAATGTGGCCTCATAGCCCTGCTGTAACACGATGCTGTTCAGCCACAGATGCTGTCCGGCCTATTTATCTCAATCAGACAACTTAAAATAGCAGCCGGGTTGCTCTCATAGGAGAAAGTATATTATAGGATGAACTAGATGTCAGGATGAATGCAGATGCTTTTCCTCAGGGATGCCCAGGCAACTTCTACCAGGCAAATAGAGCATCTCCAGGGAAGGGTTTGAAATGCTTAAGATGCAGGTCAGCAGCCGGGGTGCACTGGTATGGCACACAGGGAGAGCAGAGCAAAGCGAGACCGCAGGGAGCAAAACCTCGGGATGAGGGCAGAGTCCAGGGGCTGCCTGCGAGGGGTCCAGCACAGCTGTAAGGAACAGCATCCCTGTGCTCCCTCAAACAGATAACGGCTTGTCAGCCACCAAGCAAAGCAGTTATTTCGCGCAGACACTGGGTCTCGGGAGAGGACAGCCTGGGAGTGCTGCAACGCGGCTGCGGGCAGAGGCAGCAGCCACATCCCGGCGTTACAACACAGCTGAGCAGCTGCGGCTGGGAGAAATTTCGAAGGGAGCCCTGGCCTGAAGGACTGATCTAGATTTTGAGCACCTCTGTTTCTGTATTCGAGGAAGGGGAATGGGGACAAAAGGAATTTTAAGCCCATCCTGGCTTCCTTGTATTGCACAGTATGGAGGAGCCGGCGGAGCATCAGGGTAGGGGAGAGCAGCTTCAGTGATGGTTATGTGCTGGTTCTTACAGTTCACAGCAACAAAGAGGCTGGTTGGACACGCCAGCTGGACTTACAGCTCCTCCTGCCTCATGAGTGGGAATCCACCATGTTTTGCCTTTACTACACCCACACTGGGGGAAGAAAGCAGCCAACCATGAACAACTGGAGCTTTGCTGGGAACTCCGTGCTCAGGGCAGCAACAGCCCAGAGCAAACACGGGGGTCACTTGGGAAGTCATGTTCCGCTTCATCCTGCTGGCTGCCTGCGCCGAGATGCTGGCTGCACACCTTGCCAGCTCTCAGGGAGATGCATACGTGAACCCATTACATATTTGGGCACTGAGCATTTAACATGACGTGCCAGAATGAAACCCTGTATTTCTCCGAAAAATCCCAGATAATGTGAGAAGACCAGACGCCCAACTTAAAAGCAGAGAGACTACTCAGGGCAAGTGTTGCACTCTTCCCTTTTGCCCGAGCAGCAGACAACACTGGTGGTTCAGAGATGGGAAGAAAAGCCTTCTTCATGCATGTTCAAAATGAAACATGCTGATTTGGTGCAAGAGAGGCAGCAGAAATGCCTCCTGGCGCCACGACAAGGACAGCTACCCTAACAGGTTGCCACGGGGCCAGGCAAACATTCCAACTCCAGTTGCTTTGCTTTAGACCAGTGAGCAATGATATTTTATTTTTAAGATACTAACTGTAGTTGCACAGGAGACATCTGAGAAATGCGGCAAAGCACTTTCAAACCACGCTGAAGTGTTTTCTTACTGCAAGGACTTCCGTAGCTATTCTGCTTCCACTTATGTCAAAAAGCATTTTGCAATCAAGCTCGATGGGGGAAGAACTAAGCTCATCTTGAAGAGAAGACCCACACGGTGCCCTGAGCCAGAATAACTCCCTGCGGCACCACAGCCAGTATGCTGCCCGGCAGATGGAAAAATCCCCCAGGCTGGGAATCCCACCATGTGCCAGGCAGGACAGACCCTCGATTTCCTTCTTCTTAGCCCTCCCCACAAGCAATTTCCCTGCCCGTCCAGGGCTCCCCATCCTTCCAGGTCTGTGTGCTCGGCCTGTTGCTGAGGTGTTGTTCTCCCTATCAGAGCTGGGATCTTCAGCTTGTTGGGACTCTTTGGCTCCTACTTTCTGGTCTCCCACAGTAGGTTGATGGTGCCCTCTGACAAGGGGGGGACTGGAACGGCCCATGTGCCCATAGCCACAGAGCGGGTCCTACTCTGTTTATCCCAGCTCTGAAACCACGGGTGAAATCAGGGCCGCCCTCAGGTCGGTCTGTGGAAGTTTTGCTACTTGTTCAGCCCAAGGTTGTGGTGGTTTTACAGGATCACAGCAGACACAAGATGAACTCACTTCATTTGACGCATCCAAAGCAGTTAAGATCAAGAAAAAAAAAAGAGTTATCATGCATTACCCCTGCCAAACTTTTAGCATCTGGCTTACTGCATGACTGATGTCCTCCATTTCCCTTTCACCAATCCCAGCTAGAGAGGACACATTATTCCTCCAGCTCATCAAGCTGTTCAGGACTTTGCCCGTGGGAGAGCCCAGGACCTTATGCATGCTTCCTTGTAGCCATCATACCACTAAAACCCAGTTATTTGCTCTAACACCTTTCAACTAGTGCAACTGCAATTGGCAGACGAGACCACAGACATCCCATCTTTTGGAAATTTGTAGAGGCAGAAACCGACTTTCTGCAGCACTCAGCCCTTTGTTGAATGATAAGTACAACATAAAGAGAGCTTCCGCTTTTAGGCTTTAATTATTAAAATGAATACAATAATTTCCAGGCATGGGAGGGCTTGGGGTTGTTTTAATATTAAGTAAGCCCTCACATGAAGCATCAATTGCATGGTTTGCTCTCAACTTCTCTGCTGCTTCCCACCCCTCCCATTGCTGTTGACGAACTAAATAATTAATCTAGGAACAGTATCAATCCACGCAGCCTGGCCAAATCACAGCTAGGAACCTCCAGCTATGCAATTCAGGGTATTTTAAAACAGATGTTCTGAAAGATCTCTTTTCCTTGCATTCCTCTCCATCCATGCATGCAGGGGGAAAAAAAAAAGAGACAGATGTGCATGAAAAAAGCTGGATTTGGGGGGGAAAAGGCACTGCTGGAAGCCCTCCTGTGTGCAGACCTGTACCTGTGTTTCGGTGGGAGCTCCAGTCAGCACCCACAGCCCTCCCCAGCGCTGTACCCATGAGCTGGGGGCCCAGGGGGTCCCACGGGGCTGGAGCTCCAGCTGCACGGCACAGAGCGAACGAGAGCCACGCGCAGAGCCGGGGGATGCATAAACTCACACTCAGCTCAGGTCCCAGGCGCCCGTATTGCTCCGACACCCAGAAGCCCCTCCGGTCCTCCAGGGCAATGTAGGGCTTGTCGGGGTACCTGGCCCTGAACTTCTTGAGGAAGCCTCCCTCGAAGTCGGCCAGCACCCCATCCCTGGCCACCA